CCTCCCTGTAGCCCCCTCCCAGCATAGCCCCTCCCTGCTAGGAAGAGCTTGGTGCAGCCCTGGCCCCAGCTCACCCTGCACAGACCTGGGGGCACATGATCTCCCCCCCGGCCCTCCCGGACTAGCGGCAAGAGCTTTGGGACAAGCAGATGAGCGCTGGATGAGCTGCCAGACCAGCAGCTTCAGGCATGTGGTGGTGGGAGCTGCCACCCCCCCCTGCCCCGGGACCCCCTGGATGAGCTGGGGCTCTGTCCTGTGCCTGGCCTGCCACTCCCTGACTGGGCAGCGCTTGCCCTTGCCCCAGCTCCAGTCCTCTTCCTCCCTCCCCGTGGGGGCCTTGGTCTGCCCTTCCCCCCTCATGCACATTCACCTCTTCCCTCCCCCCTCACCAGACTTACCACCTGGAGGCAGCTCTCCACGCTGCCGAGCTGGTATCAGAAATTGGATTGGTATTGGCCGATGCACCTCCTTAAAAATTGGGTATCAGTATCGGCCACACAAATCTCTTATCGGTGCACCCCTAGAAAATAAGCACACTTACTCTGAGGCCATCCAGCGCTGATAACCATGGCATTCAGAAAGAACATTTCAGAGAAGAGCTTAAAGTTTGAATAAACTTGACTTGTTCTGTGTCTAGACTGGGGATTTGTTTTTATTCTAGCGATGTGTACAGCTTTGCTGAAATATCTGAGATGTACACAGGCAAAACTGCTACTTGTACTGCTGCATCTCACAGGTTTCAAACAGGGATACACTGGGATCAAGCCAAAATTACTATGTTCCTAGTTTCTGATGTTTCTTGCTTTTTTTCAGTTTTGCAAGGAGAATGCACTAGCTTTAGCTCCATGGTTCTTTTGGGGTTAGAAACCAGGATGCTAAATCAGTAGTACAGGAAAATAAGGCCAGTGGGGAATGTTGACCTTTTTTTTCACAGGTGAACTAAGCCAGAAACTTAATGTTGGCCAGCTACTATATTGCCAGTGCCATTTATCTCATCATTTCATGTGATGCTTGGGTACTGTACTGTGAATTGCTCTGGCCATCTGAATGTTCCAGTAATATGAAAAGTAGTTTGATGGGGAACAGCTACATAAATATATTAGCTTTGCTGCAGCACTCAAAATGGATGAAGAGCAAAGCGGCATTGTTGGTTTTTTTTGCCTGTGCTGGAGATAAGACCAAACATGAATCAAGGGGAGTGACAGGAACTTATTTGCCTTTGGCATTTAGCCTCCTTCTTCCCATCAGCATACAGACTGACTGGGCCTGGCTGTGGAGTCTTGCGTTCTGCCAGAATGCTTGAGTCTTTCCCTTCCCTGCTCCCAGGTTCAACAGGCTTAATTCTAGAAACTGTCCTTAGAACTCCCTGTTGTTCAGATCTCATAGGTGACTGTTTGTAGTGACTGAAATATTGATTGTACCTGGAGAGGTCTCCAGTGGGAGGAGTTTGCAGGAGGTAGTAGGATCAAGTTGTAGGATGAAATCTCTCAAATTCCCATAACAGTGTTCCCATATGGAAGGATCAGCTTCTGGAAGCTTAGGGAACGTCATGCAGTGTTTTAATGAGGTTTGGGGGATATCACTTTTCCAAGTGAAATAGGAGCCTATAGAGCAAACCATCCTGAAGTATCTTTACCAGACTGGAAAACCTTCAAAGGTCAAGCAGGCCTAACTGGCCAAGTACCTCCGTGGGCACTGTGTTAGATGGTAGCTTATGCACACACCTTGACTATTGCTTATCTGACCAAGCATCATTTTTTTTCTCTTTACGTAGTGTGGTCCAAAAACCTTGGAAATCCAGAAGGTGAAGTCTTCTGCTGGGAACCCTTGTTAGAAGTGTTATAGTTCACTTGCCAGCTTGCTCCAGCCGTCTACAGTGTAGCTGGGAATAAAGAGAAGTAGTTAAAGTTAAAGAGGATGCATGTCCATCAGGGAAGCAGGGACAGTCCCACTGAAGTCTCCTTCTGTCCTGAGCAATACTTTCTGTTTCTTGCCTCTAGGTTATGACTGTCCAGCCACTGAAGGAATCTTTGACTATGCAGCAGCTGTTGGAGGAGCCACCATTACAGCAGCCCAATGTCTGATGGATGGCAAGTGCAAGGTAGCGATTAACTGGCCTGGAGGGTGGCATCATGCAAAGAAGTAAGTAAACAACCTCTTACGTTTTGTTTCCCAACCTAGTATCTGAATCAAACCTACTACCTCCTGACTTTCCCTACAAGTGAACAGGGTAGAAAGATTGATTAAAATCCAGGAAAGACCAGTGTGGATAAATGGAAAGTGTACTGGGAGAGGCAAATGAGTGATTTGAACAAAAGCCTGGGGCAGCTGGGGAAGAAGCATCTAGAGCAGAGATTTGGGAATCGGGAATCCTGCATCCATATTCTGGTTCAACTGTAGACCTTGTTGTGTGATCCTGGGGCAAGTCCCTTACCCTATCCCTACCTTGTTACCCTCCCTGCCCCTATCAGATGACATCTTCCTAATGGTATGGAGAGGCTTCATCCTTATCAAGCTGTGTAGGCTGTTGATAGTCAGAAGCTGGGAAGAAAATGAGAACTTTGAATTAAATTGGTTCTCCCTTTTGCTTTCTTTGCCCTGAAAGTGCCTGTTAGCTTTATTGACACTGTTGCCTTATCTTGGCCATTACAATACTTACCTATCTCAGAACAGCAGGAGATGAGATGGTAAGTAACCATTCAGTTACTTTCTTTTCTAGGAAACTACATCTCTATCACTTGCTTGTATACTTAACCATGGCTTGTTCCCATGTTGGTGTGGGTCTTAGCATTTTATCTCAGGGAAACACAATTTGTAAGTAACAACAGTGTGTACAGACAAGTCTTCCCATTTAGTAACCGAATCATAGGATTTTTTTCATGTTGATTGGACCAGTGGCCCATCTATTTCAGTGTCCTGCCTGTGATAGTAACTTCTAATGCATTGGAATAATGGCCTTGGGATGCAGCTTGTCTTTTATGTGTTGGGGGCAGATGTGAGTCTGCCCTAACCTTTGGAGTGTGGTGGTGTGTGTCAAAGCATGAAGTTCAGTCACACTCTTGCCATGGGTATCTGTGAGATGGTGTCAGTCAAAGTTCTCCTGTTCCTCTTTAAGTCTTGCTGGAGTGCTTGCATCCTGAGTTTCCCAAGCTGACTGGGGATTCTTCAAAGAAGTACTAATGTGCTGAGTTTGGGCACAGAGAAGTCTTACTTGAAGCAAACTGTCTAGCTGTAAGTCTAGCTCTGATGCTGGAGTCAAGTGTTTCCTTGGAGTGGGCAAGGGTGGGATTAGTTGCAAAGAACTCCAATTTTGTATGGGCCAAGTAGGTTTTTAAAAAGTTCCTATATTCCTTTGATTTTGATTCCAGTGCCTGGAATCTGCCTAATCAGAGATGCCTCAGGCTAGGAAATAATCTCAACAATTTTGACCCTAACCAAGTCATTGATGCTGCTTTGTGCAACAAATGCATGTTAAAAAGTACGTGCTTCATTTACTGGTATGAACATGCTCTGGGTTCAGTCAGTTTCCACAAGGGGGAACTCCAGGTTAAGGAATTGGTTTCCTATGTCTTTAAGTGGAACTTTCCAGCAGTGATTTTGCGTGTAGTTATACACTGTGTCTCTCTGCAAGGTTAATGACTGTCAGTATTTCCATTAGAAATCTCTTTCCTTGGGAGTTAGTAGCTTAGATGTAGTATCTTTCACTAGACAGAAATGTGGCAGATGATGTCTGATGGGAATAATTGTTTTTCCTTGTTAAGTTAAACAAAAAAGGCAAGAGTTAGCATCTCGAAACAAACTTCCTACCCAAGATAGTTTAGGGAGTTTTAATGCTTAAATCCTGGCTAAGGTGTGAGTGCAGAATTGTACCCTTAGCAATTGTTTTTGTGGGTTTTTAACACTCTTTGTGTATTTGGAGATGAGGCTGCCTGTGAAGGGGTTGGTCCCACTGTGTTTTAATTTCCTACCCAAGCCTGTTGTGCCCTGAAGCACTCTTCTGCATCTGACAGAGTGGGACAATGCCAAGGCTAACCGAAAAGCTCTAATTCTCAAATGCTTAATACAGTAGAGAGTTGGTTATCCAGAAAGTCAATTAACCAGAAGGTTTTGTATTAACAAAATCATTATCCTACAGTTGAGTTTCACTTGTGAGGTAGACTGCTGCGCATTGTTTAATTTCCTAGTGCTTTAAGATGTTAAAAAATTACACCAAACTGTGTGTTTATTGTTGTTTTTAATATTTGCTGTACAGTGCAGTAATTGGAGTCTAGTTTTCAGCCCTTTGTACTGTGATGTTTGATTTCTCTGGAAAAATTTATTATCCAGAATGATGATAACACTCATTATTCCAGGTAATTGACCTTTCTATTGTATTTTCCTTCTGTCCCTGTTCAGGAGCTGGCCCCACACACTTGCACTCTTCTAAACCACGGGTAAGTCCCAGCAGGGCTTACCTAGGGAAGAATGTGTGAATTTGGAGTTAGGCTTTCATAACTTCATATGTATATTGTATACCACACACTTGGCAAACGTATATGTGCATGGATGACCAAACGTGTGCAGCCCTGGTAACTGGGGGCATGCCAAGTTAGGGGCATATTTATGGCAAGTTGTGCCCTTATGTCTGTCAGCCCACTGGAAGAAAGACTGCTTTAGGGTGGCTGATCTTTTCTGTGTCTCCTCCTTTTCCATAAGCTCCTGAAAAATTCATCTGAGGCTCCTCTATAAACTTTAAATTTTGGGGACCAGGAATTTACTTTAATTGTTCAGGTCAAGTTTGATAACAGTCTTTAAATATCTGAAGGCCAATTTGAGCAGATGGAGATGGGCTTTCCTTTGTGACTACAGGGGACAGGCTTAGGAGTAATGGTGTGAAGATGCAGCAGGAGATACTTAGGCTAGAGATCAGAAGGAACTTTCTGACTATAAAGGTGGTCAAGCATTGGAACAGGCTACCTAGAGAAATTGTGGGATCTCCATCTTTATAAGTTTTCAAGAGCAAATTAGACAGGCACTTGGCTGGGATGATTTGTCAGAGATGATCCTACCTTGAGCAGGAGACTGGACTAGATGTCCTTGCAAGGTCCCTTCCAGCTCCAATTTCCTGTAATCCTAAATCTTCTATCATTATTCCAAGCAGCAATTAAAATAGTTTGCAGCCTGGATGCAGTCCCCCTTTCTCTCCTAAATATTCTTATTCCAAAATAGAAGTGTCCATACAAAAAGGAAGCTTACAAGAAGTGGAAACTTGGACAAAAGACTACAGAGGTGTATGAGAGTACAGGCATCCCACATCTTACGCGGGGGTTACGTTCCAAAGGCCAAGCGTAAAGGCGAAAATCGTGTATAGTGAAATCGCATATTACTGTGCCAGCAGTGACTGCCTCTGCCTTCAAAACCTCCCGCCACCATCGTGGGGCCGCGCCTAGAGCTATGCGGCCGTCGGCAGCAGTGCAGCGCGGGGGGGTGGTGGGGATGGCTGTGTGCCGCCCGGCCACCACCACGCCCGGCCACACAGCTCCGGGCATGGCTCCATGGCGGCAGCGGGAGGTTTTGGAGGCAGTGGCCGTCACCGCCATAATGGGCCTCCAGGTAAGCAGCAGCACCGCGTGCAAAGAGCCCAGCCCCCCCTCCCCACGCGCATATAGTTGAATTCGCGCAAGTTAAATGCGCGTAAGATGCGGGATGCCTGTATTGCTTAGGCATGCAGGGATGAAATCAAGAAAGCCAAAGTGCAGCTGGAGTTGCAGCTGGCAAGGGACATGAAGGGTTTCTACAAATGTCAGTAACAAGAGGAAGATCAGGGAAAGCGTGAATCCTTTATTAAATGGGGGAGGCAACCTAGTGACATGATGTGGAAAAGGCTGAAGTACTTAATGCCTTTTTTACCAGTGTCTCCATGGGCAGGGTCAGCTCGTAGCCTACTGCACCTGACAACACAGTTTGGGAAGGCAAGCAGGCAACAGTGGCAAAAGAACAAGTTAGGAACTATTTAGATAAGCTGGACATGTGCAAGTCCATGGGGCCAGATGTGATGCACCCAGGGCTGATGACGGGGTTGACTGATGTGACTATAGAGCTGCTGGCCATCATCTTTGAAAACTCATGGCAATTGGGAGAGGTCCTAGAAAGTTGGAACAGGGCAAATAATAGTGCCCATCTTCAAGAAAGGGAAGAAGAAGGATCCAGGGAAATACAGACTGGTCAGCCTCACCTCAGTCCCTGGAAAAATCATAGAGCAGATCCTCAAAGAATCTATTTCTAAGCACTTGGAGGAGAAGAGAGTGATTAGGAAGAGTCGGTATGGATTCTCCAAGGGTAAGTCATGCCTGACCAACCTGATTGCCTTCTATTACGAGATGACTGGTTCTGTGGATGCGGGGAGAGCAGTGTATGTGGTGTACCTTGTCTGTAGCAAGACTTTTGATATGGTCTTCCACAGCATTCTTGCAAGCAAGCTAAGGAAGTATGGGTTGGATGAATGGTCTGTAAGGTAGATAATAAACAGGCTAGATCATTGGGCTCAGGATAGTAGTCAATGGCTCAATGTGTAGTTGGCAGCTGTTATCAAGTGGAGTGCCCCAGGGGTTGTTCCTGAGGCCAGTCTTGTTCAATATCTTTATCAACAACCTGGATGGTGGGATGGAGTGCACCCTCAGCAATAAGCTGAATATGACCCAACACTGTGCCCTTGTTTGCCAAGAAGGCTAATGGCATACTGGACTGCATTAGTAGGAGCACTGCCAGCAGATCGAAAGAAGTGATTTTTCCCCTCTATTCGGCCCTGGTGAGGCCACATCTGGAATACTGCTTGTACTTTGGGCCCCCCATTACAGAAAGGGTATGGACAAATTAGAGAGAGTGCAGTGGCGGGCAATGAAAATGGTTAGGGGGCTGGGGCACATGACTTCCAAGGAGAGGCTGGGGAGTTGGGCTTATTTAGTCTGGAAGAAAGAAGACTGAGAACGGATTTAATTGCAGCCTTCAACCACTTGAAGGGTGGTTACAAAGAGGATGGAGCTTGATTGTTCTCAGCGGTGACAGAGTACAGAACAAGAAACAATGGTCTCAAGGTGCAGCGAGGGAAGTTTAGGTTAGATATTAGAAAAAAACTCTCTCACTAAGAGGTAGTAAAGCACTGG